ACTTGGTGTGACTGTTGTGGAGATTTTATATGGGGCCTATACAACTCAACAGATTGTCTTAGATGCCTTAGTAAGAATCTTTTTCAAATTTTGTGCATTTCAGCATAACCTCAAAAATCTGACTGCTTAAGGGTCTGGACTTTGGCATCAGTAGAAATGCCAATAAAGAGATTTTAGAGTCAACAGAGATATTTAAACTAATTAAGAAGACAAAAACGAGAATCAAAATATTTTAAAATGTTTATAGTTACATCCTAAATTCATAGTTTTTTTTAAATGCTTTTTTAGCAGTCATTCTACAGATTTCTACATGTTTTTTTTTTCAAATTTTGATTTGTTTTTGCAATATGATGACACACAAATTTCTATTTCAAATTGAGATGAATTTTTTTAATAAACTAGCAAATTTCTTCATGTATTTTCAATAAAATGTGTATAGTTACATCCTAAATTCATAGTTTTTTTTAAAATTCTTTTTTAGCAGTCATTCTACAGATTTCTACATGTTTTTTTCAAATTTTGATTTGTTTTTGCAATATGATGACACACAAATTTCTATTTCAAATTGAGATGAATTTTTTTAATAAACTAACAAATTTCTTCATGTATTTTGAAATTTTGATACGTCAATGCAATATAATGTCACTCAAGTTTCTATTTCAAACTGAGATAACTTTTTTTTAATAAACTATGTACATTTTTTTACATGCTTTTTTAGCAGTCATTCTATAAATTTCTACATGTTTTTTTAAATTTCGATATATCAATGCAATATGACGCACAATTTTTATTTGGAATTGAGATAACTTTTTTTAATAAACTATATCAATCGCAACACTTGGATACGTCATTTGACCCGTCTCTCTCCCCTTTTTAGTTGAATATGAATTTACTGCGATATTTCCCCCTTTTTTAATATTTTTGTATTTAACTATCAAAAATATTTTTTTAAATTTCCACAATGCTTGCTTTTAGAACTGTGTTCAATATAGTTTTCAGTTCCAAATAGTTTCTCTGCTTAAATGTTTTTAATCTATTTACAAATCAAGAGAGAAACTGATGTACTTCCTTCTCGTATGACTCTCCAAGCACTAATGATAAAAGTATGCAAAGTGTTGTCTTGGGAAGAAAGTTCTGCTCTACCACATCTGTAACCCATTTTGATCGCTAATAGTAAATAAACTTAGTTTTTCGCATGCAGTTTTTGCCACAGTTTTCTATATAGTCTTAGCAATCTCCATATTTTTTATTTGACACTGTAAAAACATGAGAATTTTAAATCAGGCATTTGAGTAATTCTTTTTTAAAGAGACACTCAATTAGCTAGGGTTTCTTCATAAATTTTCATGGACCACTTTTTTATAATGTATTATTATTATCTGTTTTAAATAATAATGTTAATTTCCAAGCTAATTTACATATGATTTTTAAATAAGAGAAAACAAGAAATTAACTTTGAAATAAATGCAAATTTAATGCTTTTCTTAAAAAATTGGAATAACTAGTTCTTCAATATCTTACTTATAGAAGCATAGTAAAACCTAATTTTATGAAGCGTTAAAATATCGTAATCAAATTTGTTTTATGCTTCTAAATTTTCGAGTCAAAACACTACTATACTCATATATTGAATTCATTATTTCACACCAATATTTAAAATTAAATTCTGTCTCTGTCTAGTATGACTACTCAAACTGAATTTTAAATAGTATGATAAATCGATTTTAAAATTCTATATGTTACTATAATAATATGAAAATAATTATTTTTATTAAAAAGTAGATTGGAAAAACTTTTAGTTTTCTGAGACTATATTGAATTTAAGTTGATTAAATTTAGGACATTCTTATAATACTATCTTTGGTTTCTTTCATTTTGACTAGTTTCTTCTGATTTCTTTTAATGTTCTAGGTGAAATTGGATTCTTCAAACCCTTTCTTTGCTATGTAATTGCTTAATGAAAATTTAAAATGAAGTCTAACTGAATTTGAACGTTTGAACTTTTTTTCATTTTATTTTTTATTATTAGTTTTGAGTTTACATGGCTCACTTTGCTAAATTTAGGACATTCTTATAATACTATCTTTGGTTTCTTTCATTTTGACTTGTTTCTTCTGATTTCTTTTAGTGTTCTAGGTGAAATTGGATTCTTCAAACCCTTTCTTTGCTATTTAATTGCTTAATGAAAATTTAAAATGAAGTCTAAGAAATATCAAACCCACCAACACCGAAATGCAAAAAACCTGTACTTCATAGTGAGGTACTATTTTCAGTAGGTTCTAAACTTGCAATGAAAATGGGGATTCTTAAGATTTTTTAAGAAGTTGCTAATCTCCTGTAGTAGAATTTGCATCATTCTAAACATCTTTAAAAAATATTTATACAAATATTTTTGCCCGCAGTGGACTGATCGTTAAGACACGGTTCCCAGCAGATCACAGAAGTCAAGCATCACTGGCTGCGGTCAGTGTGTGGGTGGGTGACCACTTGGATCAGTCTGCGTAGGGACCGAGGCTGTGCGGTATTGGTCCTCGTTAAACTGTGCTACCGTAAAGTGCTCGACTTCGCGCGCAGGTCGTCGGGCTACCGAAGTGGGGGTGCCATCCCCTCCGCAGAGGATCAAAATTGTGATGGCATGTCTTCGGATCATCCTCCGGGATGTTTCCCAGACCGTCGCCAATAGCCCATTGTGCAGCTCTAGTGCGACGTAAATTAACAACAACAACAACTAACTGAATTTGAACTTTTGAACTTTTTTTCATTTTATTTTTTATTATTAGTTTTGAGTTTGAGACTAATTTTTAATGGATTCAAAATAAACAATGAATAAAGTGAATTGAAAAATGAAATGTTTTGTTGCTGAGTTTATAAAAGTGTTTGCATTTTAGATTGTCGTTATACCTGTCACCAGAGGTGCCAACATCTTGTGACGCTTGACTGTAAAGGATCATCTGGTGATACACAAACAACCAATTTCAGTGAAATAATTGACAACACTTTAAAAAGTGATGTTAGAGAGAGGGTAATTGTCACTTTCTTATCATTATATGAATCAATCATCGTATGAATCAATCATGAATCAATCATTCATGATTGAATCAATGAATCAATTCATTTATAATATTTTTTGTATATGTAAATCATGATAAAGACAAAAGATAAAGGGAAAGAAAAAGAAACAGGAAGAAAATTGATAAGTTTTTTTTACTGTGCATGAATTTATTTACTGCAAGTATATGGAACTCATAAAATAAGTTTAAAATATAGAGAAAACATGGAAAATAATAAATATTAATGAAAAGAGAAAAGGAAAAAATTATTAAAAAAAATTATATATATATTAAAAAGCCGTATACTTTTGATCATTAAAACTTTTTGTTTGATATGCTAGTAAAGTACCATAATTTACAGTTTGATTATTTATTTGAAGAGAATTTTTTTTCAAAACTTAATTACGAAAAAGTTGCATTACTTAGATTAGATCTGTCTTCTAGTAAAGTGTAATATATATTTTTAATGTACATCATAGTTATTTGTTAATGGAAATTGAATTTTGCTTGGCAATATTTCAAATCCTGAACTGGAAATGATAGCTTTCATAATATCAAGAAACATTATGTAATAATCAGAGAAGTAAATAATTTAAATTAAGACTTGTTACTTAAAGATATCGTGAAATTTTTGTTTAGCCAATTATATTTTGTTATAGAGTTTTTATTTTCCATTTATTTAAGATAAATGAATCCTTCAGAGTACCTTGGATTATCATTTTAATTATCTCTGCAGTAGATTATAGAAATAAAATTTACTTTTTAGTAATACTATTATGTGTTACATTATAATTTTAATATGACCATTTAATTGAGATTTTGTTATCAGATTCATTTATGAACATATTTTATTTTACAGCTTTTTTTTAAACTCTTATATTTCTTTAGAATGGTTAAGAATGTATAATTAAAGCATTTTATAAAAATTTGATGGCAAATTATGACATAATTAATAGTTTAAGTTTCTTCAGAACATTCTATAATGGCGAAAGATAAACTAGTAAGGTATAAATTTATTTGCATAATGCCTGGCATTCAATACATATCCTAGTATTGAATATTTGCGGGTATTATATACAGGCTTAACAGTTGTCCCTTATTTCTTATTTTTCCTGTATTTTTAAGAAAATGTCAGAGTTCCTACGTTTATGCTATATTTTAAAAAAAATATTTTTTTTTGTCCTATACGTTTTTTTAAAGTTTCAATTTCAGCATTTTTAGGATTGCTTGACATGCCACATTATTAATTACTATTTTTAAACTTAATTTTTTTTTGTTGTTGCTGAAAACTTTGTTTTTTTGAAAAACCTTAAGAGTTAGTCAAAATTTTTTTCGTTTTTGAAGCTTAGATTATGTACCATGCAGACCATTTGTTACTTTAGTTTTATATAAAACATACCTTGTATTTTTTTTTTTTGGCATTACATAAAATGCTTAACCATTGCTTTCAATGTTAAGAAAAATTTAAAAACACTGAATATTTTATACTTTTTTCATAAAAACGGTAATTCTACATAGTTATCGCCACTAATAAACTGGATTGTAAAATCTGCCTCTTTTTAAAATAAAATCTGCAAGAACGAAACTCAAATTTTCCGTAAAATACTTTTATCCTATATTTTACTGACAACAATTCAGAAGTAAAAACATTAAATGAAGTTTAGAAAAACTATTTGAGAATTCACTTGGGTTAAAATTGGTATTTTTATGATAGAGCTTTGGATAATCAAATTTCTAAAGTATTTCTAATAACTAAATACTCCTCTGAGCATAGTCCTTATGTAAAATGACAGTGTCATAGATTTATTAGTGAATTTATTCGTAAATTTGCTAATTGAAGTGCTGATTATTTCATTTGATACCTTGTTATTTTTGCATTTTACAGGACAGGTTGTCACCTTTATTTTTTGAACATCTTGATGGGGAAGAGTTACGTCATAGAATTGAGCGCTATAATGCATTGCACCATAGTTCTGAAATGGTTTTGGTAAGAATTTCATTTTTAATTTTATTCAAGTTATTAGTTTTTGTTAGTTTGCGTATTTTAAATTTACTATGTAAATGTTATTTTCAAAGTTTTAGTACGTTGCATTAAAATAAAAATAAATTTTAAAAACAATTGCTGCTGTTTTTGATCAAAATATAAAAACAGTAATTTTTTAATTGGTGTAAGGACATTTATATTTTTTTACTTTGCATTTTAGGAAAAGACTCTGAGTGTGAATGAAGCTTAAGGTTTAAAAATGTAACTAAAATGCAGATCGGCCATTCCTTTGCATAAAATTTTTTTTGATTAAACAAATGAATTTTATGGTATTTTTTCAAACCATTATTTCTTTAAAATAAATGTTTTTGATTGCATCTTTAACATTTAGAGTTTGAACAATTTGTGAAAAAATAAACTTTCCAGTTTCAAAGTTCACTTTCAAGTTTAAAAATATGGCTCTTTTTTTTGCCGCTGACCGAAATTTATGTTGAATTCTGATCTTGCTTATTATGCTGAGGAGTGCTATTCAAATACACGGGATGGGTTCGCTTTTCAAAGTATGAGCCCGTAGAATTTTAATCCAAGCCCAAGATACATAGGATTACTTTGATCCCAAGTTTAATG